GTTTTGCTCCAAATCAGACCAGAGAATTGGAAGAGCGTATTATGGAGCTACATAAGACTTACCGGTGAATATATTTTTACCTACTACTGCTAATTCAAGAGCAAACAAGTTTTAGAAAGATTTGCATAGCCTATACTTTCCTATATTTATCATAAAAAATCCTTTTAAACAAATGTCAGCCTTTTGCTCATCAGTGTTTCATTTTTCTTATTTATTACTTTTGTTTCTGTCTTATTTTATCTCTAAAGGGGCATGACACCTGGAGAGGCAGAGATTCACTTCCTGGAGAATGCCAAGAAACTTTCAATGTATGGAGTTGACTTGCATCATGCTAAGGTATTCTTAGTGAAAAGATGGAGTTTTGAGGGCATATAAGTGAGAGAAATCCTGGATTTTTCTGAAGCAATATTTATTCCTTTTTTAAAAAAGACTTGCTTAAATTATGTAGCATCCACTTATACCTATGTGTTCTTTCATTTGAGATACTGTGCTTAAACATAAAATATTACTTCGTCTTGTGACAAATTCTGTAGAAGATATTGCTTCATTTAAAATTAAATTGTATGGTTGCTATCATACAGATAGCTATTTTGATATTTAAGGACAATAATTTAGAAATTGAATTTTGTTTTAAAAAGGTCACGGTATTTTGCAACCATGCTGTGGAATATTTTTAGTAAGAATGGAATGAAAAGTGATAATTTTATTTTATGCAAGATTTAAAGAGGAACCTAGAAACATATTATACTTATTTGAAGAAGCCCCATTATGGAATCTGTTTATTTATTTTTTGCATATTTTATACTTCCTGTCCTCTCTGTTCCTTAGATTTTTCTCCTTTTCTTTCTGTATTAGTTATTGCATTATTCCCTTACATTTTGCTCTGCAACAAAGAAGTTAATTTTGAAGCCATTTCCCATTAGTGAGATTAAGATTTATATACACTTGGGGGAAAAAATCTTGTGGTGGGGAAGCTGCTTTAGTGGAGCATTGTAGTTAGTGGAACTGTGCAGCTATGTCTGGAAATGAAAAGAAGCAGCCACATAAAGCTGTAAGCATTTGAAATTAATATATATATATATATGTCAAGCAGTTTAATGCCCTATTCCAAAGAAATATTTTCAGCCTAAGATATCCCTGATATTTTTTCCAGGAGAATAGAGTAGAGTAGAGTGGAGTGGAGTGGAGTGGAGTGGAATGGAATGGAATGGAATGGACCTTGGAAGTCTTTTAGTCCAATCCCCCGCTCAGGCAAGAAACTCTATACCATTTCAGACAAATGGTTGTCCACTTTCTTCTTAAAACATCCAGTGTTGGAGCATTCACAACTTCCGGAGGCAAGTTGTTCCACTGGTTAATTGTTCTGTCAGGAAATTTCTCCTTAGTTCTAGGTTGCTTCTCTCTTTGGTTAGTTCCATCATTTGCTTCTTGTCCTGCCTTCAGGTGCTTTGGAGTACAGCTTGACTCCCTCTTCTTTGTGGCGGCCCCTCAAATATTGGTGCTATCATGGCACCCCTAGTACTTCTTTTCATTAAATTAGATATACACAATTCCAACAACCATTTTTTGTATGTTTTAGTGTTCTTGGTACAATCCACAGCTCTCAAACCTTTTAAGGATCAGCTAGTATTTTCTTTCTCTAGTTTTTAATATACGATAATACTAACTTAGATGGGGATAAATTGTGGTCCGCTTGGTATTTAAGTGGGAAATGTGTTGATTTGTCCTTACTCTTAGATGCATTAACCTTGGTTTTTTTGCCTGTTTAAAAATGCTTTGTACTGGCAGATTTCTGTGTATTAATGTTTTCCTCTTTTGCCCAGGATTCAGAAGGCATTGACATCATGCTGGGTGTTTGTGCCAATGGCCTTCTCATATATAGGGACAGGCTAAGAATAAACCGTTTTGCCTGGCCTAAGATTCTCAAGATTTCATACAAAAGAAGTAACTTCTACATCAAAATTCGACCTGGTGAGGTAAGCATTTCCACAAAAAAGAAGAAAGATTTTTTTTTAAGAAGGAGAGAATAAAAGAAAAAGGGGACATATTTAGCATTTTCTATTAAATAAAAAACAAATCTGGTTGATAATTTGAATATTTTTTTTATCATCTATGTCAGCAGATTTCAAATTGGTTTAATAGCAAGTCATTAGTTGTGGGTGCCATTGCTTATGCCTCTGGTTTTTTTAAGCATAGTGTAGAATGAAAAATTAATCTCCCTGTTGCCCATGTTTTCTACATATGGGAGGGATTCAGGATAAAAATATTTTTTTCCTTAATTTGTACCAAACATAGGAGAAAAAAAAACTATAAAAGTTCCTCTGAATTCCTTTTCATCCTGTAATATCTGCTTTCCTGGTTGAGACTGAGGAGCTCTTTCTTCCCTTCCTTTTGAGTTCATTATGCAGATTATCATTTTGAAGAAAAGGTTCTTGTGTCAGTTGTTTTTGGCATAATAGAACAATGCCAGCCACTCCGGCTTTTGTGATTTACTTTATATCGGGCAGGAATAATTAACCTAAAAAAAAATAGTAAAAAGTGATCATATGAAGACTAAAACTACATCAGGCTTTCTGTATTTCAGAGAGCTCATCTATACACTTTCCTTGCCCTAGTGCTTAAAGCAGGGGTGTCAAACTGCCAGCCTGTGGGCTGGATGCATCATGCCGAAAGCTCCACCCCAGCTCCGGCAATGGGGAAAAAGTCACGATACGTCGTGACACGTCACGTGACGTTGCGAGTTTGACACCCCTGGCTTAGAGGCTTACTTTTTTGGAGAGTAAATCCTTTCAAGAGAGCCTCTATCTCAGTAATAGCCTACTACTAATGCAAGCTGAAGCCTGATTAAGGTGATCTTATGGAAAGATCACCTTATGGTCCTTCTTCAGTAAACATTCTGATTTATGTTGAAGCAGCACCTCACTGGTGCCTACAGGTCTTCAATTGGCCTGCAGCAGAAGTGTTCCTCTCATCCAGTTGCTGGGCTTGTTCTGTGGTGGCTGACATAAAGATTGGATGCCTAGCAAATAATTTCCACCTTTTGGAATGGTGGGAATAGCCATGACATTGATATTCACATTGGAGAAACACTTGTCAGTAGTTTGCAAGAAATTAGGTCAGTTATATAATTGTTTACAGAGCTCGTCATGTTCAAAACTCCATTCCCTAGGCAGCAAAAGAATCCAAAGTTGTAGGGAGCACCAGCAATCCTAAACAGAAGGACAAACTGATCAGCCTGCTGTCCTTTTGGGACTTAAAGGAAGCCACCTTTCCACGGTGTTGGTTCATTATATTTGTTATAGGCTTCAGTTTCCCCCTCCTTCAAAGGAAAATAAGGAACTGAGAGGAGCTGTGAAAGTCCTAGAAGAATCCTGTTTTCATCTTATTTGTCCACCACTGGGAGAACTAGACTATTTTACTGACCTTTTTACTTTTTCTCTGCATCCCACTTACTTGCTATTGTCAGCCTCTTTGGTTCCATTGTTTGCTGGGTTCTGCTGTTCTTTTGGCAGCAAATTTGTCCAGTTCTCCACAGAGGTGTAGTGAATGCACTGCATTTAGGACAGTGGTTTAGGTAATGACATCTTTCTTCCCATCTTGGGGGCAAGAAGAAAACACATGGATATGAGCATGTGTGTGGGAGGAGCACAGAGAGCTTCATGGTATTCCTTGTTGCACAGTTTGTGGTTGACTGATGATTCTTGGTTTTGTCTTTTTCTGTGTTTTCAGTATGAGCAGTTTGAGAGTACCATTGGTTTCAAGCTGCCCAACCATCGCTCAGCTAAGAGACTCTGGAAGGTTTGCATTGAACATCACACTTTTTTCAGGTGAGAAAAAGGAAAATTAAAGAGTTGAGACTCTATGGTGAAGTGTTACAAATAAGATTGAGAAATGTGAGTGTGGAACTTCAGATCCTTTCTAGGACATCCCTGTATTAGTTTCCCGTGTAAGCTACTTTGAACTCCTTTAAACAGATGAACATTCCCACCAAGAAAATTTTCAACCAGATAGATTGCAACATATTCAGTAATTTTTTCATTTTATAAATATTGTAATTGGGCAGCAAACATATAGAGATATTTTGGGAGCTGCAAACAAATAACTGCATAATCGTACTAGATTTGAACTTGATAATGTTTTCCTAGCCAACAATTAAATTTAGTTATCTCAAGAGCAGTATGGCAAAATATTAAGAGTCATTCCCCTCATTTATATGCAGACTATGCCCCGTCTCTTCTATAAATACATCTTTATTTTCAGCTCTATTATTCTGTTTCAGAAGGTGGTAATACCTGGTTAACATTAATTTGGTTCAGGAATTAAACAGGGTCAGATCAGACTAGATCTTCAGTGAATAGCAGGGCTGTTGGCTAGATGGGGAAGTTGAAAAAACATCCTAGAAGAAGATGATGACAAACTATTTCTATGTTTTTGCTAAAAAAAAGAGAAAACTCTACGTGGATGTATCTAGGAAGGAGACTCTGTACTTTTTTATTGCACGTGTGTGATCACTAGGAATCGAAAACAATCTGATGTTGCATAATCTTTATTTCATGATGTGTCAGGATCCAGCTTGGCATGTAGAGTAGTTTTAAGATTTTGAATCTAATTTTAAAAACTTCCTCCAGGGCTTTATACAAACTCCATATTTGTGCTGTTAAAATAACAGATGTTTGGAAGCAGATGCTATCATATTAGCACAGCCTATAACATTGTATATATTTATAGAAATACAGTATAAATTATCTTCACGCAAAGAGCTGTGTCAGCAGATAATAGCATACACAATACAATGGGTTCAAATGAGACCTATGTGCAAATGTGGCCTTTGTTGCACATCTCTTTCCAGGAAAAAAAAAGCATTTGGGAGAAATGAGTATGAACTATTTGTTTTCAAAGCACCCTTTATTGAACTAAGTCCACTTTGCTATTTTAGAAATATTACATAGATTATCTTTGTTTTGTGTGGCTCATACAGTTGTTTAGTATGCTGCTAAAATGCATAACTTAGATGATAATTATGTTTACTAATTGCTTTGATTTTTCTTGCAACAATTGCAACTAAAATGTAAAATTCTATATTTTTGTATCAAAATAATAATAATAATAATAATAATAATAATAATAATAATAATAATAATAATAATAATAATAATAATAATAATAATAATAATAAAGTTGGAAGGCACCTTGGAGGTCATCGAGTCCAACCCCTTGCTCACGCAGGAAACCCTACACAAATGGCTGTCCAGTCTCTTCTTAAAAACTTCCAGTGTTGGAGCATTCACCGCTTCTGGAGGCAGGTTGTTCCACTGGTTAATTATTTAACCAGGAAGTTTCTCCTTAGTTCTAGGTTGCTTCTATCCTTGATTAGCTTCCATCCGTTGCTTCTTGTCCTGCCTTCAGGCGCTTTGGAGAATAGCTTGACTCCCTCTTCTTTGTGGCAGCCCCTGAGATATTGGAACACTGCTATCATGTCCCCCCTCGTCCTTCTCTTCGTTAAACTAGACATACCCAATTCCAGCAACCGTTCCTTATATGTTTTAGCTTCCAGTCCCCTAATCATCTTTGTTGCTCTTCTCTGTACTCTTTCTAAAGTCTCAACATCTTTTTTACATTGTGGTGAACAAAACTGGATGCAATATTTCAAGTGTGGCCTTACCAAGGCATTGTAAAGTGATCACGTGATCTTGATTCTATCCCCCTGTTAATGCAGCCCAGCACTGTGTTGGCTTTTTTGGCAGCTGCAGCACACTGCTGGCTCATATTTAAGTGATTATCCACTAGGACTCTGAGATCCCTCTCACAGTTACTGAGCAAGGTACCTGCTATACTATACCTGTACATTTGGTTTTTCTTGCCTAAATGTAGAACCTTACTTTTTTCACCATTGAATTTCAGTTTGTTAGATAGCGCCCAGTGTTCAAGTCGGTCCAGGTCCTCCTGTATCCTAAGACTGTCTTCTGGAGTGTTGGCTATTCCTGCCAGCTTGGTGCCATCTGCAAATTTGATGAGTTCCCCATCTATCCCCTTGTCCAAATCGTTGATGAAGATGGTGAAGAGCACTTGATGAATTGGCAAAAAATAAAGTTTGAAAACAGAAGAATCCAGCAATATGACAATAAAGCAAGAGATATATATTTTGGCCTTAATATATTCCACATATTCATAGTTTAAGAAAAAGACCTAAGGAAGAAAAGAAAAAATGGAGACTTCCAGTGAGCAATGGCAGATTGAAGATGGCACTTCAAGAATAGAGCAAATGGCCATGGGAAAAAGGGGAGCCAGTGGAACATCTCTCAAGATCAAAGAGATTGCTAGGATTATCTATATCTTTGTTCCATTCAGAGCCCCTCTGCAAAGAAATTGTAAAATTGTGATCTCCAAAGGATTTGAGAGCTCGTTTGGGGGTGGGGGAGAAATCATCCTGCCTATGTTGTGGTTCAGCACCTTCAAATGGACACTTACTAATGCTTACTAATGATTTTCTGGTTCTTAAGAACCTCTGAGAACAATATTCATCATGCCAGGAGAGTTTCCTTCTACTCTAGATGAAGGACATTTTGTGTAACTTTAAAGATTAAAAAGAAAAACTAAATTTTTGAACAACAGCAAAACGGGGATGAAAATGTTGATTTTGGCAAGTTAAAGGACTAAATGGATTTGAAGGAATATTTCCCATGGGATGTTTAACATTTTATAAAAGAATATTTTAAGATTTTAAAATTAATTGTAAGAAATCCTTCTGTGAGAACGTTTTGTTGATTGGAAAATAAACATATAACAGGGAACTTTGAAGATTGACTAGAGGGAACAGAGAGAACTAAAGACCGCAATTAAAAGAGAAGATGACCATTAAATACCGTAAAACAATATTATTTGACAATAGACGAAATTAAGGCTGTTTGGGAACAATATACCCAGAATTTACTTACAATATTGTTTGATATTATAAAAATGGATATAAAAGTGGCTATAGAAAAAGAACAGATTTTGTTAGATAAAACAGACTAATTTGAATGTGGAGATGAAAATGGATGTAAAAGTGTCAGACTACAAGAGTGGTATGGAAAAGGCTACCACAATAGACATACATTTGAACCAGCCAATGTCTTAATAACTAAAGAGGACATACAAATAATAAATTAGAAAAATGATTTGGAAAGCTTTTCTTATTTTGGATTTACAAAGATAATTTGCTAAACTACTGAACCTGGAAAGGAAAAAACCCAAAGAGAAAATGATGTGGGAGAAAGTGGCAAAAAGTGACAAGCAACAGGGAGAAAGCAGAACTACTTAACTTGTTTTTTGCATCCATCTTTACACAAAGGGAAAAAACAGTCCAACCTATCAAAAACAGTACTGTAAAAAACAGATTAGAAACACAAGTTAAGATAGGCAAGAAAATGGTAAATGAGCACCTGTCCAGCCTAGATGAGTTCAAATCACCAGGACCAGATGGATTACACCCCAAGGTTCTGAAGGAACTGGCAGATGTGATTTCAGAATCACTGAACTATATCTTTCAAAGATCCTGGAGCACTGGGGAACTACCAGAGGACTCGAAAAGAGCTGATGTAGTAGTACCCATCTTCAAAACAGGGGAAAAAATGGATCCAGGAAACTACTGACCTATCAGCCTGACCTCAATACCTGGGAAGATTCTGGAAAATATAATCAAGCAACAAATCAGTGAACACCTAGAGGCAAACAAAGTCATTACCAAAAGCCAATATAAATTTGTCAAAAACAGATCATGCCAGACAAATTTTATTGCATTCTTTGACCAGGTGACAAAATTAGTGGACCAGAGGAATGTTGTGGTTATAACTTACTTGGACTTCAGTAAGGCATTTAATAAAGTAGACTATAACCTACTACTTGATAAGATAGAAAAATGTGGGTTAGACAGCATCACCACCATATGGATTTGTAGCTGGCTGACTGGTCATACTCAGTGTGTGGTTCTCAATGGAACTGTATCTATGTGGAGGGAAGTGTGTAGTGGGATGCCCCAGGGCTCTATTCTTCATCAATGATTTGGATGAAAGGATAGATGGGGAACTCATCAAATTTGCAGACGACACCAAGCTGGCAGGAATAGCCAGCACTCCAGAAGATAGGCTTAAGATACAGAAGAATCTTGACAGACTTGAACATTGGGCACTATCTAACAAAATGAAATGTAATGGTGAAAAAAGTAAAGTTCTACATTTAGGCAAAAAAAACCTAAATGCACAGGTACAGTATAGGTGGTACCTTGCTCAATAGTAGTAACTGTGAGAAGGATCTTGGAATCCTAGTGGACAGTCACTTAAATATGAGCCAGCAGTGTGCTGCAGCTGCCAAAAAAACCAACATGGTGTTAGGCTGCATTAACAGAGGAATAGAATCAAGGTCATGTGAAGTGTTAATACCACTTTATAATGCCTTGGTAAGGCCACACTTGGAATATTGCATCCAGTTTTGGTCACCACGATGTAAAAAAGAAGTTGAGACTATAGAAAGACTACAGAGAAGAGCAACAAAGATGATTAGGGGACTGGAGGCTAAAACATATAAAGAATGGCTGCCGGAATTGGATATTTCTATTTTAATGAAGAGAAGGACGAGGGGTGACATGATAGCAGTGTCCCAATATTTCAGGGGTTGCCACAAAGAAGAGGGAGTCAAGCTATTCTCCAAAGCACCTGAAGGCAAGACAAGAAGCAATGGATGGAAACTAATCGAAGAGACAAACAACCAGTGGAACAACTTGTCTCAGGAAGGTGAATGCTCCAATACTGGAAGTTTTTGAGAAGAGATTGGACAACCATTTGTCTGAAATGGTATAGGGTTTCCTGCCTGAGCAAGGGGTTGGACTAGAAGACTCCAAGGTCCCTTCTAACTCGATGATGATGATGATAATGATGATGATAGGAAATCAACTTGCAGGACTTTGATGGGATTAAAGATCCAGCTTTTTAAAAGTAAACTGTATATTTTGTGGTTCCTGGTAGCTATTAATGGAATTTCCTTTTGATCAGGACTCAATGACAAGATTTTAAAGATCTGTTTATATATACGGATATATTTCTTTTGCTTTATTTCTTAGTAATGTTGATTTATAAAAGGCATTTATTTGGAGTCAATATGTATATGTTAGTATTTTTAGTAGTTCTTAATAGATAGTAGCTGATTAGAACTGAGTGATGAGTTTTTATAACTGAATTATTAATGAGAGAATTTTCTAGTATTTCTTAATTGAAATACTAGAAAAGGCATTAAGTTACTGAAGTTGTTTATACTTGTCTGGAGGAAGTGTGGAGTTGTCTTTTATATATCTTTTTTCTTTTTTCTATCTCTGCATTTTTCTTTTCTTTATTTTTTTTATATTTTTCTTAGTTTGAATTAGTCTTTTATCTTTCCATTGTAACTTTTAATAAAATTTTTATGGAAAGAAGAAAAAGAGAAAAGCTAGATGACTCCTTGTATAAAAAATTGGTCTTTAGGTATGTAGCTTCAAAAACTAATTGGAAACTCCAAATGCTACATTAAAAATGTGGTCCCTAAAAATCACTGTACATGATTGATAGAACTTATTTATATCATTGAGAATATTGAATTATTTTTGGGAGGCTGGGTTCTGAAATAGGCATGAGGCCACATATTTCACTCAATGGCCTTTGTCTGGAAAAAAAGAGACTTGCAATTATTTGTCTTAATGCTGAATAAAATTCCATTCCCAAATGGAATATAGCAATGGTGATTTTTGCATTGGCTTAATTAGCTCCCAACCTGATGTGCCTGGTATAGACCTGATATACTAACGGGCACCTCTCAATCTCACCTGGCTCCCTACCTTCCCGTTTCCTCCCTTTTGATTATTTAAAATTATGATTTATATAAATGGCATGTTGTCATGCTTCAAAGTTAAGTGCCATTCTTCTTTGCTTTCATTATTTCTTATAATATCTCTTAGGTAATCAAAACAGTGGGTAACTAGATTTGCACTACTGTTGAAATTTGTGAACCCACTCAGAAAAGAAGAAAGCAGTCAGTGTTTTTTTTAGGAAGTAAGAGGTGTGGTGAAATTCTTCCATAGAAACTATGGTTAGACAGAAGTTGTAAGGAAACATTGGAGATATTTTGAATGTTCCTTCAGAGCCTCTCAGTTTGTCTTCTGGAAAATGAGTATTTGTTTAGTTTGTTTAGTTTTAGTTTTATTCAATTTATACCCCGCCCTTCTCCTAGCGGACTCAGGGCGGCTTACAGCAAGTTAAAAAACAGACAAACCATACAAAATACTAAGTTTAAAATACAATTAAAATAAAATATTGATTTTTTGCCGTTTCTTTTTAAAATTATGTTAAAAAACCAAATTAAAATCAAATTAAAATCAAATTAAAATATCCCTTAGGCCAGTCCCGCTAGCTGGAATAGCCATGTCTTGAGGGCGCGGCGGAAGGAGGGGAGATCCGGAATGACCCGGATCTCTGGGGGTAATTTGTTCCATAGGGAGGGGGCTCCAACCGAGAAGGCCCTCCCCCTGGGGGTCGCCAGCCGGCACTGTCTGACTGACGGCACCCTGAGGAGACCCTCTCTGTGGGAGCGTATCGGCCGATGAGAGGTAATCTGTGACCATACCCACTATTGTAGCCATGAGTCCACAGGTAATCTGTGACCATACCCACTATTGTAGCCATGAGTCCACAGCCAAGCCCTTCCTCGTGGCAACCATCTGGTGAGACTACCTACAGCACACTCTGAAAATTTTGAATGTATTTTACAACTTCAAAGGTTCCCCAAGGAATGGACAATGTCAAAAGAAAGACGTCTGACCACAGTGGACTCGGAGGAGGTTTTCCGAAGGATCATTACCCGAGGTTTAAGGCGATGTCACCCGCTTGTGTCCGAGTTTGAGCCGTTCGGTCGCGAAACTAACTAGCAGGACGGGGAATGAAACTTGCAAGGAGGTCGTTTGCCATGTGGTACAGAGCGTCCCTCGATGGAGGTATGCCCCAAATTGGGGAGGGGGAGGGAGATTGGTTTCCTGGTGGGTATGGAAAGGCTTTGTTCAAAGGATGGAGCTATGTATTCTGTGGGGTGGGAGGTGGAGGTCTAGCATCACGACATTATTTTTTGCTGGTGAGATGTAGAACATTTTTTCTCCAGAGTGGTATGGAAGGATTGTTCAGTTGATCTATAGGGAAAGCATGAATGGATTGCAAAAGGCTCTACCTAGTAGATTTTGGCTTATTTTGGCCAAGGAAGACTGAATCTGCTTGATACCTGGATAGGAATTTATTAAGAAATTCTAAGACTGTAAGCTAGACAGGATAAGCTATGGCTTATCCATAATTAATTCTCTGATTTAGACCTGCCTTCCTTTGCCAGCACAAGGAGGCAATTGAAAGTTAACAAATAGTTTCCAGGCTTTAAAAATTTGCTCCTTTGGGATTTTTGCTCCATACCCCCAATACAGTTAGCTCACTTAGACATATGCACTCTCTTTGATTCTAGCTAGAAAAAGGATGCAGATATTGATTAATGGATGGGTTCTCTTTTGGGCAACCAGCCTGCCAACAGTGATTAGACATGAATTGCAAGAGATGATACAGAGCAGCTACTAGATACAGTTTCCCATAAAACTTCCCATCAGCATAGTTTTCTCATTATGTGGTCGATGTTGAAGTTCACAACTCTTTCAATGCAGAGCACTCAAGAGAGAAGCTAAAAGGTATTCTCCCCCTCCCAAACTCTCCAGACTGATACAATTCTATTCACAATTTTCTGGACAGGAAAAGACTCCCTTTCTATAAGTAGGCGGGGGAGAGTTTTCCTCTCTATAAATTACATTCTCTAAAGCAACTCCAGGTTCTTTTCTTTGAAGATCAACAAATGTGAGAGCAGAAAGAAGATTGAAGCTGTTCCACAAATAGCCCCATTCCTTCTATCCTTTTGTATAGCCATGGTAGAGTAACAACTGTGTATCCCATGCTTCATGCAATGACCTCATTGTCCTTGGTAGGCAATACTAAAATGGGCATTGTGGGGCACCTTTTCCATGCTACCAAGGCATAAGAGGCGTAAGAAGCCCTTGTTGCCACTCTTTCTTTAGAATCACCAGTTTTCTCCTCTTAGCAATTAGATGTTCTCCTGCATATTGCATTGTTCTCTTAGACTAAAAAATCAACTAAAGGTGGAATTCAGATTCCTGGAGCTTAGAGATGCCAACCTCCTCAAAAGATTTAAAGACTTATCTGTGGGTGTATTTCAATTTAAAGAGCAAAGAAGAGCATTTATTGTAAGCATTTGTTATTGTATCTGAAACAGTAGTATCAGTGAGAAATAATGAGTCTTATTCATAAAAAATGGAATTATCTTTTGCAAAACATTCTTCTTAATTCTTCAATTTACAACTGTTTGTTTAATGGCAGTTCAAAGTTATAACAGCCTAGGAAAAAAAAGACGAGCCATCCTCAAAGTTATGCTTGTTGCAGTACCCCTGTAGCCATCTGATTGCAATTTGGGTCCTTGGCAACCAGCTTGCATTTGTTACAGTTGCAGCATTTTGTAGTCACATGATCCCAATTTGCGATATTCATAGCCAACTTTCAACAAGCAAAATCAATTGTGGAAGCCAGCTTCACAATGTAATTCACTTGACCATGTTTTTTGATTAATGATTATAGTAAAAATGGTGGTGAAATTGGGTCTGATCACATGATCGCTCATTTAATGATTGCATCATTAGCAATTGAAATTTTGGTCCCAGTTGTAGCTGTAACTTAAGAACTACCTGTATAAAGAACAGCTGTATTCATAAAATTCAAGGGATATAGATGTTTTGTAGGTCTGAAATATAGGAAGTATGCCATACCTTTCACTTCTATCCACCATATGTAAAGCATTCCCATCTGGATGATTTAAATAATGTGCAAACCAATTGTTATACAAAATGTATGTAACAGGTAGATAAATAGAAACATTTTAGAATTATCAAGGAATTCAATCCTAAGAAATCAAGGAAATACAAAGCAAGAATCAAACTAAAACTTGATTGTTAAAAGTTGTTTTTTATGGCACTGGATGTTACGTACCTAAGGCATGTCCCAAAAAGAGCTTTTGAATTCTTGAACACAAGATCTTTAGTCTTAGAAGCTTTTTCAGGCATTGGAAATGACATTTTTTCTTATATTCAGCTAAAGTCAATGGGACAAAATAGGGCTCCTCTCTCTTTTCCTCTCTCTCTCTGTCTCTCCTGTGCAGAATTCTCCCGACCAGCTTCAGTGAGTGAGAATCACGATGGAGCAGAGTCAGACAAGAGAGAAGATGATAGGTATAGGGGGAGGACGAGATCTGAAGATGAAGAGGTGACTACTCCAACAAAAATCAAGGAGTTAAAGGTACAAAAATACACCTATACTGTACTTAATCTACATTAGCTTCTGTCTAGGACACAGGTGTCAAACTTGCCGCGTCATGTGACGTGTTGCGACGTATCATGATTTTTTTTGCATGGCTGGAGCTGGGGTGGGACACGGCCTCCGTATGATGCAACTGGCCCATGGGCTGGCAGTTTGACACCCCTGGTCTAGGTGATGCAAAAATATTGTGGAAAGCAATGGTGTTATTATTACTATTTTCTATCTATATTATCTCCTATTTATTAGAATATTTCTCAGTCTTACAACAAATAAGTTCCCACTAGCACTTGTCATCATACTGTTCAGCCTCCAGTATAAATTTCCAAAGACAAACTGTAACTTCCATTGTTAAACTGCTGTTATCTTTGGAATCTTATTCCATGGAGAAACCAGTCATCCTGAAATCTGAAAACTGGCCTTTTATTCCATGATATGACACAGGAAACATTCACCCAGTGTGTCAGTAGCAGTTTTAGAAGCATAGCAATAGCAATAATACCTAGACTGCTCCACAGTGCTTTACAACACTCTCTGAGTGGTTCACAGTATCTGCATATTGCCCCCAACAATCTAGGTCCTCATTTTACTGATCTCAGAAGAATGGAAGGTTGAGTCAATCTTGAGCCCCATCAGGATTGAACTCCAGACTCTGGGCAGAGTTAGCCTGCAATTCTAACCACTGTGCCACCAGTGGTTAGCACTAGCATCCAATTTGGGCTTTTAAAGCTGATTTTTGCTGATTTTCATCACTGTAGCCAGAAGGATAAGCGAGGACACTGCACTGCTCTATTGCAAATACTGTGGTAATCATGGGGATTTTTTATATTAAGAAACAGTGTGTTGACAAGTTTGTCTTCCAAATGTGTCTTCCAAAGAGTACTGTCCTTCCTGTGAAGTAGGATTCTTCTAGTGTCCTATTGCTTCAATATCTAACCTGTAGCTGGATGTTAATCCCATTCTTGTCTGGAACCATTGTCTTTGTCAATGTCAGGGATAAATAAACAGAATCTACAGACATGTGAAGAATACAGCCCGTGTCTGCTGAATCATTGTAGATGTGTCTTCTTGAACTGCCAAAGTCCTGCCCTTTTCTCTTCTGTAAAGTAAAGAAATTTATTCATTTCTTAATGTGTGTCAGCAGATTTCATTCAAAATGCATATTGCAAATCAAGCAGGCTATGAGGCCTACATAGATTAATACAATGCTATACAATTAATACAATGGTTTCCTACATCTATAAAGATGTGACAAACCTCTTATAGAAAGTGTGCAGCATCAAAGATTTGTCATTTTCTTGATACCTGAATTAAAATTGTGGCAACAATGTAGCCTATTATAGGAGTTCCCTTAACTGATTTACCCTCCCTCCTGCCTCTTTTTTGCTACCAGACGGAACAAGAAACCACCCCAAGGCACAAACAGGAGGTATTCTCTGGAATGTTTTAGTTTTTCATCAGTGCATTCCTAATTTTTCATCTTTTAAGAAATGCCAACATTGTATGTTCCCTTTCCTAATGGGATGCAAGATGTAGATCAGGGTGGAAATGAGGGGATCTACACAGACTGCATCTTATACCCCATTAAGTCAGCATTTCCCCTTCATCTTGTCATGTGAGCAAGAAGTTAAGAGTACTTCAGCTACTTGCTTGCTAGGAAATCATAACTATTTTGTCATCCAACTGGACTCTTCTGTTCTTTCATGGCATTCTATTATCCCTGTTCCTCTTTTTTTTCCCCCGGCCTTGATATTTTCAGGAAGGAGATACTTACTGAAGATGCAGATTTGACACAAATTTACAAAAATGAATTGCAGGTCAGAATGTTAAAAGCTTTAAGCCAGAACTAAAAATGGGATTTAGATTTAGTCATTGGCTAACGTACCGAGATATACAAAGCAACATCAAAAAGTTGCTTTTATTGTTCACTTCCTCTTTTTAATGATCAACCTTATGAGGCTGTGTATGTAATTGTTAGGTTATTTGAGAAATGGTGTGCTGTATTTCCCCAAAACTTCCATGCAGCGATTAACATGTTTATAATGTTCTACAAAGTTTATGACCTGTAGATGGTTCCCACCAAGCAGATCAAAGCTTGGGAAATTTTTATTTGTTTTTACAGCAGAACTGATAACTGGTTTAAATTCCTTTGAATTATATGTAAAAAGTTTTTATTTTTATTTTGGCAAATTTGAGTAATAACAAAATTCAAGCTACAATCAGAATAAAGAAATTTATTTACAAATTGAGTTTACTATGCCTATTTCTCATTATTAGTCTGGCTGTTCCACAGACTTTTGGCATATAGATATTCTCCAAGCACCTGAAGTTCAGCGCCGGCTATTCCCTACATATTTTCTCATCATTCAGTAATTCTGCATGTTTTATTAGAACCATGTACAGTCCTTATTTACACCATCAGCATTATGTGAAGGGGCAATTGGCAAACTGCTTCAGAGATGTGCATTCCTTGTTTCTCAATTTTTTGTGAAGTTCCTCTCACTCTTGAATGAGGGGAATTAGGCATAATGGATGGGAATCATGAATATTTCCTCTTTTTAAAATAGTTTGCACTGTCCAAGAAAGTGAAGCTTCACTTAGCCACAGTAAAAACTGTTATGAAATGGATTAGTATTTTTTAGTGCTGATCCTGAAACCCACTTTATACTCAGCAAACATGGATCCTATTTTGGAATTCTTTTTTGCAGTTTACTTTGGCCCAATTTAAATATATTTTTCATTTTTTTTCATTCCTTTAGAATTCTAGTTACAAACTATTATAGGAGATAGTAAACACTGGCTAAGAACACATTTGCCTAGGTTTGTCTCCTAGCCCATGAGTTGCTAGTTCTGGAATTATGATCTCCAGACTTAACAGACACTATAGAAACTCATGTTTCTAGATAAGAAAGAACAGTAGAAGCCTACATAGCTCTTAAGAGGTAGTTTTTTTTTATATCCTGAACAATCAAAAAGATAAGACTTATATTTTAATAGTTCGATCTTTCTAAGCCAGTTTTCTCCAACCTTCTTGCCTCCCAATGGATTGGATAACAACCATAATCAACTCCATTCCTCCTTGGCCAAGAGATGAGGGGAAATGAAATCCATTTGGATGGCCAGCCCTAAAATTGTAGCTGAATGATTTAAGTTGTCTACTATGTGGAGACTTCACTTTCTAGCAAAAAGGCCTCCAATTCGAAACATTCTGAAGCTCCCACCTCACAAGCATCTCTCACTCCACTCATGTTCCTTCCTCTAACCCTCACCTTAGTAGTTACCTTCCCCTCTCCATCCAAAAGTTTTTAGACAAACCGGAAGATGTTTTGCTAAAGCACCAGGCCAGCATTAATGAGTTGAAACGGACCCTGAAGGAACCCAATAGCAAGCTTGTGCACAGAGACCGGGATAGAAGGCTGCCTTCCTCACCTGCTTCTTCTTCACCCAAACATGAAGATGAGACGCCAAAAGGGACCCCTGAGAAGGCCAATGAGGTTTGTTTGTTTGTTTGTTGTTATCCTGATGATATAAAGACATTCATTATGTATATTTGCATTACGCAATTTTGCTATTTATATGTATGTACTTGATTCTTCTGCCGTTTAGAATAATTAATCTAACTAGTGGCCTAATAGAACCATCCTTACTACTGCCTTCCTCAATTTCCTGCCTTCCAAATGTACTGAAACTAGAGCTGCCATCATTTCCAGACAGCATGTGGGTTACAATCAACACATCTGAGAAAAAAGATATTGGAGAAGGTGGCTCTTAATGTTTTTGCTTTTCTCCTGTCCATACTATCAAACTATGCAGTATTACATCCCTTGATTATTTACTCTGCAAGTGCTCTGTCTTCTGCTGCTTTGAAATTGTAATGGTCAGATTTAGGTAAACATTCAATAATATTTTGACAGGGAAGCTTTTTACCGTATCCCCTTTGCTGTCTCTACAAGATCCTTTCTTATTTATTCTAGTAATTATGATGTTATGAATATTTCTCTAAGCATTGGCTTTGATATGAATATTCATATTGAACTGGAGAAAGTAAAGCTCTGCATTATAATAATGGCTCAAAGATTGCCAAACTTTGATCAGATGATTGTGTTCAACTGTCAACTATCTTGGGCTGATCTTTTAATAAAGGAAGACAAACTGCATTTCAGTTTGGGCATTATAACAATTTATCTCATCATTCCTTTCTTTATAGGCAAGCAGACAGAAGGTCCTAGGAATATATGTATGCTCATAAATCAAATTTCATATGTCTGCATCCCTTACTTGACGTATAGATGATATCAGTCTACTATTTATTGCCTATTTTGGGATTATACAATCCCTATAAAAGATTTTTAAAATAATTTAAGACTTTGCAGGCAAGGCTTAAATTGAAAGGCAAAATACTAAATAAAGCAGACATATAAAATTAAATTTTTGGTAATACAACAAATAGATTTTATCACAAATGAGAATGCCACATGTAAGTTAGAAAATATAAATGATCGTAGGCCAACATATTATAGATACATGAATATTATTAGACTTCCTTAAATATGAAAGCCATTTACCATGTGAATCATGGCAATGTGGACTATGAGGTTAGAATAATGCATAAGGCAAACTATTTTTCAAATATGGTTCCCACAATGAGTCATTGTCATGTAGGAAGTACATGTAGTAATTTCCTTGTAAAAAAAGCTGTTGTCTGCAACTTTCTCCAAGACAGTTGAGTGTCCATAAAGCAGTGAGTGAAAAGACTGAATCATGTTAAGACTAATTTTTTAGAAGAATTGTTTTGAAAATAAAGTTTCATGATCTTTTGTAGGTATCCTCATACAGAAATTTGTGCCAGGAAAAGTAATTTGCATTGTTTTAATTACTTAAAGGTAGTCTTCTGCCAGTAAACAGATTCTTAAAACATATCTCTATTGCCAATCAGTCCATGTCATAGTTAGAATGCATCCGTATTTGAAAGTAGGCAAGCAAAAAGAAAATCCCAGTATTTAATTGTAGATGCGCTCTCTTGCCCACACATCTTGGATAGCTCTGTGTGAAAATATCTCTTAATAGCAAAGCTCAAATTTAGTGTAAAGAATTTCTGAGAAACTTCTTATTGTGGAATTTATATTTAGTTCCATTTGCATCCTAACCTTGATTAAAAAAATACTCCAGTGCTTATACACTATAAAATACAGTCATAAACACATAGTAGTTGGCCCTCAAGATTTTGGTGTGAATCCTATGATTTTGACAGTTATACTGAAGGTAGTGTTTCTCTGTTTGCAAGAATTATTTTTATTGTAACCGAAGCCAGTCATGTACAGGCTTACTATATTATAAGATACTCAGATTAAATTAAGAAAGCTGGAAGAAGACTGTACTGTCCTTTCCTTCAACACAGCCGGAAATAACCTCTGTAGCTGTTACTTAAAAATGCAGGCTAACTTTGCAGAAAATCACATATTTATGAAACATTCAGCTATTAAATGAAAACATCTTATAATTTAGTGAGCAACTTAATATTTTATAAACCACTGGCCTTTGTTTGACCATAAAGGGATGACCTCTGTTCTTGGATGTTTCTTCATGAGTAGAGACATAAAGTATTTTATAATCCCTACTAATACAGTATTGGGCAAGGTGTTGATGTTTCTTCTGGTGAAACATAGATTAAACTTGAGCTCAGGAAAATTGGAAGCACAAAATCCTAACCAGTTAAGGAAGCTGCACAAGTCATTGATGCGTTTGCATCACATAGCAGGTCCAAGTCTTTTTACTTCTCCAGGTTTCATGATTCATTTTTCCAAATGAAAGGTTGGGACTCAGCCTGAAGCAGATAGACCTTCCTCAGCAGGCATATAACTCAACTCTAATGGCTGGTCCTGTGGGGCCTAATTCAACTCTTAATTGGGAAAGCATTCTTATATTAAAAAAAGTAGAACAAAGATATTGGTATGAAATCAAGTTGAAAACTCCAGATAGCTGGATAAACTTGTGTTCAAGTGTTCCAGTAGAACGAGAAAATAGAATAGCCGAGTTCAGTAGCTGAGTCATGATTAACACAGGTAGTCCTTGAATTACGATCGTAATTGAGATTAGAATTTAGATTGTTAAGCAAGGTAGTTGTTAAGTGAGTCGCACCCAATTTTATGATCTTTTTACTACGGTTGTTAAGCTAATCACTGCAGTTGTTAAATGAGTCATGGGAACTTTAAGCAAGGCTGGCTTTTCTGATTGACTTTGCCTGCCAGAAGCTGGCTAGAAAGATCGTAAATGACTATTACAGGGGTAGGCAACCTTGGCTCTTTTATGACTCGTGGACTTCAACTCCCAGAATTCCTGAGCCAGCCATGCTGAGGGGAAAGGCAGAGTTTCCAAGCTGAGCCATGCTGGGAGTTGAAGTCCACGAGTCATAAAAGAGCCAAGGTTGCCTACCCCTGGACTATTACATGTCCCCAGGATGCTGCAACCCTTGTAGTTACATACCGGATGCCAGGCAACCAAATTTTGATCAGTTATTGGGAATGCGCAAGGACTGGTTTGTAAGTCACATTTTTCAGTGCCATTGTAACTTTGGACAATCAGTAAAAAAATTGATTGTAAGTCAATGCCTATTTTTATTGCTGTCAGAGAGGAGATGGAAGTTGAAAGAAAGAATCCTTTCCTAAAAAGTTAGATAAAGAATTAGCTCAGGGTAAATACACAGGAAATTGAGTGATTCTCCATACTTTATTTACTGCCTCTTTTTCTGTGTCTCCCTTGTCTCTTTTCTCTGTCTCTATCTCTTTGCCTTGGGGGTCTTGGGTTTCCCCTCCTGAAATAGATGTCAGAAGAGGATTCTCCAGAGGATCTGTCATCTGAACATGGAGCTGCCTTAATCATGGAATCTTTTATACAGAAAAGCCTTGTTTCTTCTCCTGAGGTTATCACCACTCTTTCAATTTCTCTGTCTTTTCTATATCTGTTTCTCTTTTTGTTTCCTTTCCTAGAAGTAAATGTAGGCTATAATACTACTCATGATTACTAAGGGCTAAAGTCTTAGAAGGGCTGAGCTCTTCTAAAGTCGTTAGGATGCATTTTTACTGTAGTTTAAGCTTGGGGTATTCATGGCAGTTGATCTATCAAGTTCATCAAGTGATAATGAACCAAGTTCATTTAATCGGGTTCATTTAGAATTTATCTGAAACAGGAAAATCTTAGTACATCTAAGCTACTAGAAAATGCTAGAAAAGTTATGAATTATTACAAAATATTATATTCAGAATGGGAAGGTTTAAGTCTCCAAATGATTTTGATGTCAGCGTTTCAGGAAAGTCCCCCAGTATTTGAAAACTGCACAAAAATGTGCTTCAGTGAAAGATAATGTGGTGCTGTATCCGGTTCCCAGTTAATGGAGGTACAAGAATCCGTAGTGAGCTCCGCAAATTACATGTACCTCTTTTTTGCTTTTTCAAATTTCTCAATTGGGAATAGCAGCATGTATCCAAATATCAGTTTAGGGAAACAAAAGGAGAGATGTATGCCTCCATTTCCTTCCTGCAGTTTCTATAAAGGTATCTGATTGACCACTGCAATAGAATATAGGACTAAGACCTAATTCAGGAGTGGACCAGTATTTTGCTTGGAAAAAGTTGTGAGTGTAGGTTTATTAAACATTGTCTGAATTCTGAAGAACTTTTGCCAGACTGATGATCTGACTTAGATATCTCTGGACACAATTAAAAACTACAGTATGTGCTTTTCATTTAAAATGATACTCAGTATGTTTCAAGGAATACAGCAGCCCTTTCTGGATATGTATAAGCCTGCACAACAAAGGAAATTCTTCTGCAGAGCACTGAAATAAAGTGTATTTTTTCAAATTTGGCCAAAGCTATCAAATACAAAACTATTAATATAACAAATGCTTTAGAAACACTTGAGTATTTCAAGCATGTAAACATTGTGACCTTTCCTCATTCAAGGAGCATCCATTTTGGTCAGTTTGTTTTTCATATGCTTAACCACAGAGGTGTTATATCTACAGTGGTGTTGTATTCAGACAAATAAAATCTGAGACATCTGGTGGCAGAGGCAGTGAACAGCCTTACCACAATATAGCAAGGCTGTTCTGTTTTCTGAATTGTCCTGTTAACAAAAGAAAGCTAAATCTTACATTACCAGATAGATATTGTCTCATTCCCTTTTATAACCTAAGTTGGTTATGAAAAAATAAGAGATGTGGTTAAAATTTTGGTGCGTAGACTTAAACCGGAATATAGAGTAGTTAGAAGATTCTGTTACTTCACCTGTTGTCAAATATAGTGGCTTGTGTCAACTGTGGCATGGCAGTTACATTATGGCACAGATTTTGAAATATGGTGTTGTGGTCTGGTCCAGTAATTACTTCCAAAGGCAGCATTATCAAAGCTACTTCCCCATCTGCTATTCTAAGCATTGCATCTTATCTTAGAATTGAAAGTAAGTAACTGACAACTTTTATGAGTTCTGATTGCGG